TATTAGTTGAGTAAAAGTCTTTAAGTATTTGATATTTTTTGTATTCAAGTATTAAAAGTAAAGTATTGATTTAAAATGAGCAGTTAGATTTTCTATAAGGACATTTTTTAGGAGGTGACCTCCCTAAATAACTGCAAAAATAACTGTTGTAGTAAAATAATGAATTTATGTTAAATTTAGGATGCACTAGTCCAGCTGTTTCAGTTTATATACATATATCAAGGCTGCACAAACCTTTTCCCCAAAATAAAAATCTATCCGAGGGCTGAGGCCAAGTTTAATACTATAATTCATGAAATACAAATACTTCTGAAGTACAGTCCCTTTTATTTTAATGATTATGTCCTGCTGGAGTGTGACAGGAATGGTTTGTGTACAAACTAATACGGTATCAGAATTTTATATATTTATACTTCTCATTCAACCACAGTTAAATTCACTCTATCTAGGAGGCACAATTTATGGATCGTATTGAATTTTTTTTACAATAACAAGCTGGAATGAAAACAAGCAAAGATTAAATAAAAGTAATGACTTTCTACTTCTTGCCTTTTTTCTTGCCCAAAAATTCTACTCAAGTACAGAAACAAARTATTTGTGGTTAGTTACTTTACAACTATGTTTGTATCTGAACCTGCCTCTGACCGGATGCTCCGGTGCAGCATTTTATTGTTGGAACAAAGCAACATGCTGGAAGTAAAGTATCAATGGAGTAACTTTAGTTTCGATWTGGTCCAACATCATTACTATGTCGTCCAGGACACGGAAAATTAAAAGCACAAAGAAAACAACTGGACTTCTGTTCTGTAGCTGAAGATGTGGGGAGCTACAAGATTTAAACAACATGACTCGAGGTCAGTGTCATTATTATTGTATCGATCTGCTCACCCCCACCTCACTGGTGTAAAAGATCAGATCTGATTCAGTACCACATACTGAAAAGGCTTGGGTCGGATTTGAAAAAAAAATGGATTTGTCATGTTCAAACTGTCATGAAATGTCTGATATGGGGCGTATTTGCCTGCAGTGTGAACACAACATAAGACTCTAACCTCGGCAGGAAAAAGCACAACCAGTAGGATTTGTCTTTGGAAGTCTTGGGTCAAATTATACGAGTACCTTCCACAAAAAGGCTTAAAGAAGTTGTGTTCATCGCTGAGTAAATGTGAGTTGTTTCATTGCCAACAACTTGTCATGCAGATGTGCTTCATGGCTTTTGTTGGCTTTGCTTCTTTGGTGTTGTGCCAACAAGCAGCCAGCAGGTGGAGACGATCCCACCCCAAYGTGTGCTGTGGGTCCTAAAAGTCTGCCCAGTTACACTCCGGACTGTAGTCAGTCAAAATGCCACCGTTTCTAAACCCATTACATCATTCCTCTGAGAGTTTCAGCGAGCTTAAAATGACCTCTTGCTGCACAGCAAAGCAGTCCTGGTGTCTCCACCCTCCTGAGGAATGATGTGCCCAGTCAGCCCTTTACCATAATTACACAGGAAGGAGATAAATTGTCTTTTTTTTTTTACTTAAGTTGGATCGTCTTCTGCACTGTTAGCTGATGCATTTAGATGACTCATTAGTAAACGGACTCACTGGGAGTAGTGGTGGATGGATGCAGCCAGGGCATTGCCAGAACCGCCTGGCAGGATACCCAAAGGGGTCTGGATGGCTTGTTGCCAGTCTTCTCGCTCCATCAGACCATTTATCACCTGAATWAACAAGAGAAAGTGAACGAATCAATGAACAGCACTAAATAAACCAGAAAAAACCTACTGGGAAATCCAAAATAAAATACAGCAGATTGGATTGTACTGGATCCGTTTATACTGTTTCATATTATATACGGTATTTTATCTAAGGTTGTCTAATCCTCTGAGTTTTCAAAGTTGGAAACATCTCATGGGACTTAATAGGAATTGGTGGGAATAAACAAGAGTAGATGTAAAAATATTAAAAATCCTCAAAGTGTTGTCCTTACAGGTGCTGGTCATAAAATTAGAATAACATGTAAAAGTAGATTTATTTCAGTAATTCCATTTAAAAAGTGAAACTTGTATATTATATTCATACATTACATACAAACTCATATATTTCAAATGTTTATTTCGTTTAATTTTGACGATTACAAATGACAACAAATGAAAATC